CCTTATAAAATATAATTATATTACAAGTTAATAAAAATACTTCAAATATGTCTTAGGACCCCCGCCAATATACAAATTTTATTTTATCGAAGTCGTGAACRATTGTACAAATAGTAATTTGTTAAACATTTTAAAAACCACAATTAATTTAATGTATTTGTGTTAAGGTGCCATCGGGCCAGATTCAGCCAAGATGACCTCCTGGGATTCATATCTAGCAGTAGCAACGTTTCTGTCATCACCTGAAGAATTTATGGGATGGTTCGTCGGATTCGTTTCCTTATTCAGTACAAACCTCTTAAGACCACTGAGGCTAGCGTTAACATCATCTAACAAAAATGCAACCAAGAAGTAAGAACAAAAAAATATAGTTAAAAATAAGAATAATTCTTATTAGAGTGAAGAATGCATTAAAAACTTAACTAAAGCAAATACGTACTCATTGATTCATTTTTACTCATAAAATGAATAAGGAAAAACACTGTCCTCTTATTAAATGTATTAATCGTCTATGGGACGTTTCATATTTGCATTTTTGAGTGAATTTTTAATGTTAACTCCAATCGAAGGAAAACATTTATTTTTTCCTCTATCAATTAATTATGTGTATACTTCCAATTCTATTTCTCCTCAATAGCACAAACTATTGCGTGTTWATCATATTATAAAAGGCGTAACACGAGTAAAATTATTTGAAATTTTTGAAAAACCTAAATTTTTGAAAAAAATAATGTTTTATCGCTTTTTATGTAAGCCATTATTTTCAACTCGTATTTAAGATTTTAAATCTATCAAGGAATGTATTATTTTACCATAATTTATTTATTTATTCAACGACTATTTTAATCATAACTTTGAAGTTTACTTTTAGTAGAATTTTCGTTCGGCCTCGCATATGAGACTATTGACTAGCAGGGGAACTTTCCTCAATTTTCGTTAATTGTAAATAATACTTGTTAGTCCAGTTGAATCTGGACATTTACTTTGACACAATACATGTCAGCTGTCAGTTAACTATCGTGCTAATATTATCATCATCATCATCATGATTATAATCATTGTTCATTTTCGTTGTAGTACTGTTATAAAGTTATAATAATATACTATACGTGCTATACACGACGTTTTAACAAAATAATAATTTATAATCAATAAGGATAAAAATATGTTTCAATTATGTGCGCCGACTGTCGGTGTAGATATGCAATATAAATTACACACTTGTGTGTTTGTGGAAACATACGGTATTACTACCGGCATGGATAGAACAATTTTTGCAAATAATTAACTGGCAAAAGACGTTTTAATTTAAATTTATTTATTTAAGCCKTTTTTGTTTTTCAAAAAAAAAAGTTTTATAATAATAATMCATTATACACATTGATAAATTTGTTARTGTAAATACTAAATAATAATAAATCTTAAAATAAATTTGATAGGTTTTTTATAATAAACAAACACAATTTACATTAGTACTTAATAATTGCCGCGTAGTTTTATTTACATAGCCGAAAAACATGATATTACGTTGTTTTAAAATAAAATAAATTATTTGAAACATCATCATTTTTGGCAGATATAGCTGTCATGATTAAACAAATTCAAATATTTTCGGACTGATTAAATCGGAATGTTATATTTTTCAATACAACGGGTTTCCAACATCTATTATTTGCTAAATTGTTATGGCCGTTCAATACTTCTATTTATTTTCATAATTACATATTATACCTTTGGGTAGTGAGTTATTGATTTTTAACGAAATATCGGAAACGTGGAATATGACTGATGGCATTAGACTTTTACGGATATTATCTGTCAAGTTGTGACATATAATGCAAACATCAAATTTCTGAGTTCCTATCAGGTTACGAAATATATGAGATATTAAAACTTAATAGTAATCCATATATTATATCAATAAAAGAGTAATTTGATCGCCAGCTGTTGTGAGGAATAATGGAGAAATGCGTATAAAAACGATTGAGCTTTTAATTAGTGTTTAGTCTTTACTCTAAAATAATCCCTTTTACTGTTTCACTGTTAATATCAACAATCATTAAAATAATAATTTCGAAACCTTCTTATAACAAATCATATATAGTAACCCAATGGCCTATGTCACTGAGGRTACAATTCGTTTTATAATAAWAAAAAAAAAAAATCATAAATAAAAAATGTTAAAGRTTAACGGCCAGTGTTTTACTTGACTTTTTCTTTAATCCATATAAACTGCTTAAAAAATAACTTTAAAAAATACCACGCTTTTAAGTATATAATATAATAATAATGTGGTAAATATGAAATAAATAGTCATAAATAAAACTCATAAATTATAATTTAGGACTTAGGTGCAGTTTTACTCAACTATTAATTTTTGATTGTATTAAATTATTTTGCTTGCATACCTAATTATGAATATAAAAATGATATTAAATTCCAGGAACAATTTGATAAACAATATAATTTTTAATAAGTATATATTTTTTTTTTTTGAGTAAGTAATACAAAATATGTATCAACATCGTACATACTATATGACCGGATATGTTAGATAATATATGAACAAGTTTAACCTTTCAGTAATAAGGTGATAAATGAAAATCAAACCATATAACAAGTGTTACTCGTATTTTGTTTTATTGATTTTACGTGAGTTAAYTTAAAATATTAAAATATCGTAGAAAACGAWTAATTTTACATTTGAAATAACAAATGTTTCACAAATACATTGTTACTGTGTAACTATATAATATTTTAAATTATGAAAAATATACGTTTACGTAATAATACGTAAAATGTAGGTTAAATAGGTACTCAGAATCGTAAAA